ACTTGAAACAAGCTTAACCTGCAGAGATTTTTCATAGGATCTTTATCTCTGCTCCCATTTCTCCTCCCTGATTTGTTGTTTAATTCACCCTGTAGAGTCTGAGTTAGAGTTCAGTTGTTTTAATGGTTAATAAGAAATCACTTTTCATCTACTTTCTTTCTGTACCTTTTTGTCCACAATTTATTTAACATTCCCTTTTAACACCGACTTAGAAAAACCTCAAACAAACTCTCAAAATCTTTAACGTTTTTAGCACTACAGCCCAAATGGTTATTATTTAATCTTTAGTTCTGTGGAGATTCTTTTCACACCAGAATGCAATCATCTATCCTAGCGTTTCTGAAGAGGGAAGAGAAAACCGTGATTTTTATACTTTTCATCTTTTAAAGAAACATCTGCAGGTAATTTCCTCCCTCAGTAAGAGGAATGAGGTCTGCTTTTGTTGGAATTCACTAAACACTGAAATGGGATTACTGCCTTACATGGAAACGTTAAATTGTGATCTATTAATTTTCAAGACCTCTATTTGTACATTTAAAAATACAAAAATCATTCATATGGTTGAGTTTATATACAGACACGTGTCTCGTACAGTCAGATAATATAGTGAGATGGTCTGAGAACCCAAATAATTCTGATTTTAGTGACGCAATCAATTTTCTAAGCAACTAAAAAGCTGCTTCTGATTATATATCTTCATGAAAATCAATGAGGTTTAATTCTAATTTGAATCCCAACTAAGAAAAAGCAGTAAAGGAAGAAAGTAGGCACAAGAGGAAGCCATGGTAGAGCCCCTGTTGTGTGAAAGATGAAGCGAGGTGTAAATTAGCAACACAAAAGGCTCTAATGTGGAGGGAACTCAGGTTCCTTTGATCCTGGCTGAGAGTCTTTTGTTTAAAACCTTCGATTCTCCTCAGCCATTCATCGCGGCCCTCTGAAGTACAGAACAGAGCGCTCCGTTTGGCCTGCATGTCTCAGGCTAATGGCTCTGAGATACCTGGGGGGGGGGGGTAATCCACAGGTGTGGGCTAAGAGTTTGCAGGTTGGTGGTTAAAAGTCTTTTAAACCTAAATTACACTAAGATTTTAAAAATCCCTTTAGTTTTTCTATCTAAGGAGAGTTCGTTAGTTTGGCTTCGTTAATGGTGACTAATTCAGTCCAAGGGTTTTGTTCTATTGTGGAAATATATTCTTATCTCTCCTGTGATGGTTTCATATTAACGTGTTTATTAAACTCGGTTGTCAAACCCATAGTTGTCATGGCTTTCCCCTTTTGGGACTCTGAGTTTTCAGTTGTTCTGTTTTGTTGATCTTTGGTTTATTTTCCATTATATT